AAATGAGGGGAGGGGGTGATACAGAACAGAGAGGGTGAGGGGTGACAGGGAGGCAGAGGGGAGGTTACAGGGAGGGGTGGGAGGGAACAGAGAGGGGGAGGGGAAATAGCATAGAGAGGGGGAGGGGAGGTAACAGAGAGAGGGAGAGAGGTAACAGTCAGGGGGAAGGAGGGAACAGAGAGTCGGGGGTGTAACAGAGAGGGGGTGAAACAGCACAGAAAGGGCGAGGGGAGGTAACAGAGAGCAGGAGGGAGGTAACAGAGAGTCGGAAGGGTAACAGGGAGGGGGAGGGGAAACAGCACGGAGAGGGGAAGGGGTAACAGATGGCAGGAAAGGGGTGCTAAGAGACTGTGGGACATGACAGAGAGTGGAGGTAACAGAGAGAAAAGAGAAATGGTAGAGAGCTGGGAGGGCAACATAGAATGGAAAGGGGGAGCAGAAACTGGGGTGGGGCAGGAAGGAATGTGAGGGGGCAGCAGAGCTTGGTGGGGGGAGGGGAATGGCAGAGAGCAGGGGACAGGGGAGGGGCAGAGGCCGAGGGTGGGCAGAGAGCAGGGGGAACAGCAGAGAGTGGGAGAAGAGTACCACAGTCAGTGTGGACACTGAGCAGGCAGATTGATGGGGGCAGGGTGAAGTTTGAACTGTAACTGAGATTGTGGGGGGGGGCAGCAAGAGACCATGAGAGCCACAGAAAATTCAGGGTGCAGTGTGTGAGAGAGTGGGGGAACACGTTAACACCCTTTAGAAACCTGCCCATCAGTCTGGCTATTGAGTGGGGAAGGGGACATCACATGGAGTGTGATCAGCGCTGACTGTGTGCATTCCCCCAGAATACAGGCCACCATAAGCTAGCATTGAGGATTCTGCACAATGCCCTGAAAAGCCTTTCTGACCTGCACAACACCTCAAACGCAGAGGGAAGCAGCTCCCGAGAGTATGGCTGATAGGTCTAATACAGTAACTACCTGCTGCACTCATAATTGCTTTAACTTTGCCATCAACATTCAGCAGGGAACCCCAAACTGGGCATTTTCTAATTGCTTCATTGAATACATTCAGCTTGCAATTAAAAAAGAATCACATCAAACAATGTCCTCCTTTCAAAAACAACATATGGTCACATCCTTTCCAGCTAAAGCTGGAAAGACTAAGCTCCTATTTTTATTATCCACAGTACACACTGGAGACCACACGGTTTGGCTCTGACTGGGCCCAAGGGCTGTGATGTTATCAGCAGGCACTGGATGAAGCTACTATGTTCTGCCCAATAGCAATGAACAGCTCATTTTAACATACAGCCTCGCTCTGTTTGTGTGTGTGTGTGTGTGTGGGTGTGTGTGTGTGTCTGCGTGTGGATGTGTGTGCGCGCGTGTGGGTCTGTGTGTGTGTGTGTGTAGGTGTGTGGCTGTGTTTCTGTGTGTATGGGTATGTGGGTGTATGCATAGGTGTGCGTGTGTGTGTGTGTGCGTGTCTGTGTGCGTGTGTCAGTGTGAGTAAGTGTGTGTGTGTGTGTGTGTGTGTGTGTGAGTGTGTGTCTGTGTGTCCATGTGCGTGTGGGTCTGTGTCTGTGTGGATGTGTGTGTGTGTGTGTGGATGTGTGTGTGTCTGTGTGTGCGTGTGCGTGTGGGTCTGTGTGTGCATGTGTGTGTGTGAGTAAGTGTGTGTGTGTGTGTGAGAGAGAGGGAGTAAGTGTGTGCATGTGTGCGTGTGTGAGAGTAAGTGTGTGCGTGTGTGTGTGGATGTGTGGGGAGGAGTGGAGTGGGGGAGCGGGGAATGAATCAGGAATGAACAGGAGGACACGAGCCCATGGAACCTCGAGGTCGACATTTCAGCAGATGCAGGGTCCAATATGGGGCATGTATAGATTCAGCTTGTAGTTCCCATCTTTCGATTTACTAAAGTAATTTTTTCTTTAACTTTACAATTCCACAAAAGATATTAAGCACAAACAGAGACGTCCCATTTGACGCCTCTGAAGATATCTCTGCCTGGAGCTAGCTTCAAATCCAACTATATCCAAATCTGTTAATAAAAGCAGGATCCACATCTCTTCTAAAACCAGAAGTCTGGAAACCAAACACTTTGTGATTGCAGGAGATGGGGATATTTTGAAAGATTCCAGTTTCCAAGCTGGTGGGAGAGTGGAGTCCTAGGTTTCCGTATCTAAACAGAGCGACCAAATCTCAGGGACAGCACAGGACAACAGAAGGAGGGGCAACCCAGAGAGGGTGAATGGGATCTGGGGGTGACCTTTCCCAGGGAGTGGGAGTGGGGTCTGGGGGTAACCTGTCCCAGGGAGTGGGAGTGGGGTCTGGGGGTAACCTGTCCCAGGGAGTGGGAGTGGGGTCTGG